TGTAGTTCACTTCCTTTAACTGGTAGGATCATCGTGCAGTTTTAACAAAGTAGGACGAGACAAAGCTTTGGTAACGAATCACCCACGTTTTTGACGTTAGGTTCCAGATTGGCAGGTTTTATGCTCCAGTCGTTTGAAGTTAGCATTACCTCGTCACCTTGAAAAGCACAAATTTCCAAAGCGCTTTTGTCTTTGTGCAGGTATTCATATTCCTCTAGAAAACAGAGCACCGAGTTCAATACACGCTTAATCTTCCTACTTTTCCCTTTCTACCTTTCAAAGTTTGTCTAAAGAAACGTTTCACTCCATTCAACCTACATATGGCTGCTTTTTGTCGTCTCAAAGTCAACTTTCAAATGACCGACATAAGTATTTTCTAGAAGATCATCTCTCTGCACAATCAGTTGAAAATATTTCTTTCAATTCAGAAAATTTTAATTATCAGACAGTAAGTTATGTGTTTCGGAAAATTTTGTGTCAAAATGCAAAATAATTGTGGAACTGTAGCCGACTGTATATTTCTATTTCGTTAAAAATTAGGTAAGCTTACTGTACATTCTTAAGTAAGCATTATTTATTCAATTTATCTTCTAAAGGCCCATTGGGAGCTGGGCAACCAATAAGATTTGTACAGTTGCGTGGCTTGCGTTTAATTGGTGCAAAATCGTCCGTAGGGCGTCGATTGAGAATGCGGACGCCAGGACTCAGTATTGCGCATCCATTCAGTGGAATGACAAAAAACTCCCCTAAAAACGCCTCGGAAGGCCAGCTACAGGAGCAGCAAATCTCGGAACGATACACTTTGGAGGAATTGGAATTCCTTTTTAATGCTGTCCAATGCTATCCTCACGTAATCGAATCGCCTCTCAGCAATGCTGAAACTAAACGCCGGAAGACCGTTATATGGAATTGGATTGCGGGAGCAGTTAATGACAAATTCAAACCAACTACAGACAAGAGTGCCAGCCAACTGAGAAATTGGTGGAAGCGAACCAAGAACAGGGCTAGAAAACGCCTGGAGCACACCGAACTAGATGTCAACGAGACCCAGGTCGGCCTTTCAAACAAAAATCGCGGCTACCTCGAGCACATATTCAGAGATATCTGTGAATTTAGCGACCGAATTAACATGCTATATTCGCCTGAGCTGGAAGACTTAGACTATAAAAAGTTTTTGGCAACAGTGAATACCCAGGAGCGAGGTAGACCAGTTGACCTCGTAAATGACGGCGGAAAAGAGGCGGGGACTAATGCAACCGATGTGGAACACGAAAATGCTGCTGACACAG